AACAAAGTGCACAAAGTACATTGACAAGCTATGTTGTTCATGCCTGCACATCATTTATTTGTATGTTATGTAAATAAAACTGTGCACTTGACTGTAGTTACATCAGTAAAGGTCGATACAAACCTTTCTGTCGCAAGCTACACAGAAATGAAAAACTACCTCCATGTCAAGACAACCTGTATCAACACTTTGAAATTTCTAATTAGCAGTGTTAGATTTGGGGGCAAAGCACTGATTACAAAACTTGGTAATAAAATTGGACCAGAAGGACGTGGATGAATAAACTAGTAAACTCTATGTCATTATTTAGATCTAAGGTATCTGAACCTATGAAAGTAATGTTTGAACATGTTGACTAAAACATTAATCTTAACCTCTATCCTACGTTTATAGGTTTATAATAGCATTAGTATCCATTGAACGATCCCATTTTATTATATATATATATATGTAACAAAATGGGATTGCTGAATGGATAATAATGCTATATATATTATATATTAAACTCATTCACAAAATATACATGTATATGTATATCCGGAAACAGTATTCACACCCTTTCAGGAAGTAACAGTAGTAACTATATAAAAAAAAAAATCAGTATCTGTATACACGTATATAAAAAGTAACAGGAATATATATTTATTTATCTTTGCTAATTACGGTATAATACGTAAATGATCGGTAAAGGGTGTTTTGTATACAAAACAAGATATAAACAAGGCAGACTGCTTTGAGATTCACTTCTTATATGACTTCAAACCAGAGTAACTGTTCAAGACCACAAAATGTATGAGCATTAAACAGTAAAAAATTTTAGACTACACTTTTCCTTTGTTTTTGTCAATTTTTAATTTTCAAATCAATATAAATTATTTGACTGTATTATTTTTTAGTCGTACCGATAAACCTTGAAAGTTTAATATAAACAGAATAAAAAATTTCTATATTTATTAGTTGAGCAATATTTCAATTTAGCTGATGGGTAAAGCGTTCGACTCGCAATCTGTGGGTCGCAAGTTCGAATCCCCGTCACCGAACATGCTCGTCCTTTCAGCCGGAGGGGACGTTATAATGAGTAGGTCAATCCCACTATTCGTTGATTAAAGAATAGCCCAAGGGTTGTTGGCGGTGCGTAGTATTTACTAGCTGCCTTTCCTCTTGTCTATCACTGCTAAATTAGGGACGGCTAGCGCAGATAGCCATCGTGTAGCTCTGCGCGAAATTCAAAATAAACCAAACCAATCTAATTTAGCACCATCTTGTAGCGTGTATGGCATCACACTAATCATCAGAATTTAAACCGTGACCTAGACTAGTGTCGTATTTTTTCTCCCTGAATGAGGAAGACAGTATTTTAATAAGGAATCCTTAATTATAGTTTTTCTTTTATTGATGAAGATCTGAATCCTTTAGAAAAATCCTAAGCCTTTTAGAGGGTTTGCGCAGTGCGAGACAAGAAACGTTTCACGCGTAATGAACACGTAAAGAACGACCTGTGTTAATAAAATACGATAACGTGTAAAGAACGTCCTGTGTTAACAACGTATGATACAATTCCATGAAATGAAAGAAGGTTCTCATTAATATGTGATCCACCTATATAGATTTTTTATAATTTTGTGAACTAAAAACTTAATTTTGAATGTTGCTAAAAAGATTAAATATTTTTTTCTGTCTTTTAACACACGAATTGTTAAACGTTGTTTTATCCCTATCGCCTAGACCTTTGTACATAACTTCTCTTAATTGACGTAGAGGAATGCAAAGGCCTAATAAATTGAGTAAATTGCTAGACATGTTGAAAAATCATTGACAGGATAGATAATTCGCAATACATGTTGTATACAAACATTAAAAGGTATTTATAAAGTAGTAATATTTTTTTCAAACATTCCAGTAAAGGATACGATTTTCTTATTAGTGTTAGAATCAATAAATAATATTATATTATTAACCCTTACCCTAATACTGATTTGTAAATAACTCGTATAAAGTTGATAATAATTACACTTCACTAACTTAATTTAGTATTCACAATAACAGTTATTGTTCATATAATTTGATATTGTAAATAGCGTCTCAACCTTACTGTGTCCGTCGTAACCCAGGTCTCCTGATGATCTCTAGAATTTGGCGAAAGGTCTCGTCGGCATTGGATATTGTAGATATGGTGTGGTTGACGTATTGGTATACATTCTTCATTACTTTCAGTCATAAGGTCTCAGAACACGTATCTACACCTGATAACACGCACTAAATTAGTAGACCACATTTAATTGCTGGAAGAACGAAGATTGTGTGATTGATTTACTGTTATTTTTTGTATGGTATTTTCGTATAAGTGTTGATATCTAATATAATCACAAAAATGCTTACTTTGAGTACTTAAAGTTTAGATATATTTATATCCCTAATGCATTCGGGCCGGGAGTAGAGAGTTGAGTGTGTCCGGACTGCAAGTCAGAAGAATCATGGTTCGCATTTCGTTGCAGCAAAAAAACGGGCTCAGCAGTTTGGAGCCGCGGGTACGCTTTAAAGATTATGGTAAAAATCTCATTATTCGGTCAGGCAAGATTAGCGTTATAATTTCCTAGCATTTCCAATGCACATTGTATTTTCCACTTGAATGACACATGGGTTATTCAGCTTATGACTCAAGTATAACCACCTCTATTTTAGAACTGCTGACTAGAAGGAGAGCAACCAATCAGCACCAACCTCCGGGTATTCTTAACCCAATAATTACATTGTTATAACATACCTACAACCGAAAAATAAGAGCATGCCCAGCAGTACATCACGACTCGAACCTTGGACTTATTATAAACATGCCCGGCCTTATTTCTACTGTAAGAAACTATTTCTACGAATTGGAAGAGATAATGGCTTCATTGCGTATGACAATTTACCAGCTTTCCAATCAGCATTGTAAACTTAAGGCTAGTTTACAGAAAATACTTCATGCTGTGAAGCTATTCTGTATAACAGAATGTTTATTTATGTACGAAGAGTAAAATAAAATAGTTCAGCAACTGCAGGAGTAAAAAATAAATAAAGATAAATTGCTTTCAAGTGAATATGACGTACTTTAATACCTTGAAGAAGTTAGGGTTGAGTTATCGATAGCTTTCCTGAATACACAAGATCCCTATGAAACAATACTGTCAGAAAATGATCCATCCCACAAGCACACATAGTTATATATAGCTGCTCTTGGCATACAGTAGACAGGATAAATAACACAGAACCGCATAGTATCTAAGGTCAGACCTCCTCTATTGGTGCGTCATTTTTCATTTCAGCTGTTAAAATTAATGGCGAATAACGTAGACCGACTGAGCGCATGCGCAACAATCAGAAAGCTCAATAACCTCTTCTACTCAAAGCCTTTTTTTTTGCGTACACATGACCTTGTTAGGAAATTGGTTTAATTTACATACAATATTTTTGTAGAGACAAATGGCTATTTGTTTTTCAGGATTGTTTAACATTCTCTATCATTTGTCACTGGCTTTTGACAGAAGAATTTTTATTAGAGAAAACTTTGATAAATTTACCTTCATTTATCCGAGAAAATTCTTGCAACAACTGAAAAACGTTTCGCAAATTGTAAGCAATACTTCACAAAATAAATAATAGAAAGAGCACAGGTAGTTTATGCTTAATAATAAACAAACAAAGAAAGAAAAACGAAAAACTTTTAGTTGTTCTTTTAGAAAAAAAAATCAACGTTATGGCTGTAGGGCACGCTTAGAAACGTTCTTTGAGAATATAATAAATAAGAACAATAATTTCAAATCTTAATTATATTACTTTATGAGCATATGCTCATTTCACAACTCACTAAATCTCTATGATCTGATTGGGATGTTAGAGAATGTTACATGATGATCATATCAACGCACCCCTGCTAAGATGACGTTTAAACCAAGTACAACCATAACCTAAATTAATCCTTTTATAACCAGTTGAATAATTAGAGAATTTTACTAAATAATCCCCACGCACCCCTTTGTTAAATTTAAATTTGAGATGAAAAAATAATTAATTATACTTGAGAATGGCCGGCTACTGAACAAAGGATTGAACTGTTTCGAATCGAAATAATATTTTTGATAATGTAACAGAAGAACACCAAAATGAATGTTAACTCGAGAGAATTTTTCACCTGTTAAACATGTGAGTGAATTTCGTCATAGCGTTCAATAAAATTCAGGCTACTTCAGCTTTTAAACGTTCTAACTATATATACTAACTAAACAATGATTATAGTGCCGAAAAGAGTACGATGAAAGTTTATGTCGACCTCAAAAGTGGAAATGTATCGTTTGTCAAAAGAATGTGCAATTTTTGTAATCCCTAAGTTAATTAGTTTTATTTATGAATATGGTGGTTTGAATGTTTAAGGTTATTCATACGCTCTTAATGATTGTTTGTTTGTTTTTGAATTTCGAGCAAAGCTACACGAGGGCTATCTGCACTAGCCGTCCCTAATTTAGCAGTGTAAGACTAGAGGGAAGGCAGCTAGTCATCACCGCCAACTCTTGGGCTACTCTTTTACCAACGAATAGTAGGATTGACCGTCACATTATAACGCCCCCACGGCTGAAAGGGCGAGCATGTTTGGTGTGACGGGGATTCGAACCCGCGACCTCGAGTCGAGCGCCCTAACCACCTGGCCATGCCGGGCCCGCTTTTAATGACATGGAGTTGTAACGAATTTGCTTATTTGCCTTTTTTTTTCTTTCTAAGTTATAGTCATAAATATAAAATAAATTATTCCCGATTTTCTAAAAACAAAAAAAACCGCTTTCAAGATGATACGGATATTTTATTAAAAACAAAAGTACATTTGCTTCATTAGAAGTGTAAAGACACTCCATACAGTATAAACAGAAGAAACATTTGAATAGGCCAATAAAAATAAAAATAAGACGGAGTAGAAATCTGCTGAACTTACTACATAAAGTACGTGTTCCGTCAAAGATTAAAGGTCAATAAATTATGTGTTTGATCGCACATCCAAATTAATACAAGCACCGTGTAATTTATGTATTAAATTACAATTTCGTGATTAATGACCATAAATCATATTTTTGATCACAAGTTCATGGTGAACACATAGAAAACATAATTGGATCTGTGATAACGAAAGTCCCTTAGTGAACGAAATGCTTTAAAACTTTTTTCTTGAAGTTGAAAATTGCGAATCAGATTGTTCTCTAGTTATACTCTGTAGACAAAAACACACCAACACACACATCTGAATCATATTTAAAAAAGTGAGTTGTATCATTTTGAAATATGGACTTCCTTCTCTTTCTTAATGAACCAGTAAATTAGTGCTCTCCCTAGTATAATATGTAGTATGAAAGTTTAATAAAGAACTAATAAACCGTCCATCATTGGTGTAATGTCACCTGCTTCTATACAGCTAATTACCTGGAATAACGACCAACTGATTGTTGTTGTTTTTTTAATCCCCACTTTGAAGTTATTGACTCGTAAACAGGTAATTTTCTACGTAGGAGGTCCGTGCCATCTACAGCAAAACTAAAATAGTGACGGAGAAAAAAATGAATGCAGTATATTAGAAAGCGAAGAAACTAATAACAGTATATTAGTGGTAACTAAAAGTAAAAAGTATTCAAAACTTATCATTTCAGCACGTTACACATCTATATCTTTATCGTAAAGATGCTTACAATACAACTCACCTGACACTCGAGACAGGAACCAAGATCTCATTAATAATACATTAAAGTTAACTGGTCAATAGAAGCAGGAGTCAACATTTTATTTACTACACTATAATACATTTGTTAAAGGAAGCAGAACTCGCTGTGTTATTACAAGATAATCATCTTGTAAATAGAAACATGATCACGTCAACATCTGTCACTACAATATAACAAACTTGTAAGCAGAAACAGGATCGAGTCAACCTTAATTATGTATATAGAAGCAGAAATCAACATTTTGTTTCATACAATTTAATTAATCAACTTATCAGTTATTGCATGAGTCAACCTTCTGTTATTACTATAAATTCACCTTTCTCAATTGACGTAGACATCCATATATTATTACCGTATAATAACTTTGTCATACTCTACTCTTGTTAACCTAATTTGATCCATAAGAACAGAAATGTACAAACTATAATCAACTCAAATGGATCTTCTGTTAAAACAGCACAATCGTATTCTCAATAGAAGCAGGAGTTAACAATCTCTCACTATTATTCAGGCTATTTCTCAAAACAGGCAGGAGTCAACACAGTGTTACTATTACATAATTCATTTTTCAATAGAAGCAGGAGTCAATATCCTATAAGTATAGCATTTTCAAGATACCATCCTAAGCTGTGAACAACGCACTGTTACTACTACATAATCAAATCGCCTCCTTAAGTACGAATAAAGCTACACTTGGTTATTATGTGTAAAACACACTTGATAAATTGATTTATATTATTTCTGATAGAATAAAAGCTATTTTAATGTCATGCATACTATGTAAAATAATAATAATAATAAGTAAGAGGTTTGATGACAATATAAAATAAAAGCATACTGACTGACAAAAGAGTCCGTGAAAGCCTAACTTGAGATATCTCGTGAAAACACAAGACGAGAATTAAACGATGCTGAAGTTGCTTACTTAATATAAAATAAGATTTCTTGAACTTCTTTAAATTACTGAATTGAATTAGGTGTGGCTTAGGGGTTAGCATCGTGTACTGTGAATCCAAGAATTCATGGTTCAAGCCCGTTGCCGCAAAAAAAAAAAAGACACGGTCCACGTTTTAGAAATTGTGGTGTTCTATAAAAGTGAGTGTAAAATTCCACCATTCGGTCAGACAGTAGTAGCCGAATAATTGGATGTCGATTCTATTGACTAACTGCCTTCCTTTCTTCAATCAATTCAAAATTAGAGATGTCTTTGTGTAATTCTGAGCGCAAATTCTGACAGAGTATTGAGTTGAAACTGAATATAAAAAAAAGACGATGTAATTTTTTAATCAGTAGCCTAACGTTAAAGAAAATCTTGTGATGACCTATCGAAGTATTTGAAAGTGTGAACGAGTAGTAACGACAAATTCGACAAGATCTTCTGAACTATAAAACGTTTGTTACTTCTTTTTACGTGGAAAGTTTAGAAATTAATGAGTATCGTGAAGGTTTATGACGCGCGTCAACTTGAATCTTCAAGTCCTTAAGCTGTGTTTTTTTATATTTATATTTTTTACTATAAAATATGTTCCATTTTCTCTTTGTCACTAGTTTTTCTTATATAAAGAATGCTTGCGTAAAGATAAATTTATAAAAATCTATAACAATATCATCACACCAATCTGGGTTGTAAGTTATGTTTTGAAGAAATATTCTCTACTATACTGTAAATTGTTTGTTTGTTTTTTGAATTTCGCGTAAAGCTACACGAGGGCTATCAGCGCTAGCCATCCCTCATTTAGCAGTGTAAGACTAGAGGGAAGGCAGCTAGTCATCACCACACACCGCCAACTCTTGGGCTACTCTTTTTACCAACGAATAGTGGGATTGACCGTCACAGTATAACGCCCCGACGGCTGAAAGGGCGAGCATGTTTGGTGTGACGGGGATTCGAACCCGCGACCCTCAGATTGCGAGTCGAGTGCCGTAACCACCTGGCCATGCCAGGCCTATACTGTAAATACATCAGCAAACGTTTAAAATTTGTCTTGAGAAAAGATAAACTATTGACACTAGCATTTGATTACGAAAAATATCGTTATCGCTGTAAATTTGAATTCTCTTCATCAAAAATATTTAGTTCAAATTTATTCATGTACAAAATTTCACAAATCTTAAAAACAATAGCAACAATAAATCAATGAGTGGCACACACATATAAAATCAACAAAATGTTTATACAATGCATAACCCCTAAAATATTAATAAATACAAATGATAAAATAAATAAACATTAAAAGTAAATAAAAGTTACTTAGATCACAACCAACTCTGAAGAATTTTATTTTTAGTTATAATTTGATAACTTAAGGTAAAACAATAGTTTTTACAGTTTAATCAAACACTTAGTAAATAATTTTTACAGTTTCTTTAAAGTTCTTACTAAAGTTATTTAGTTAATTTCTTTATATCATTTCGTAAGGTATAGTACTTCATATTTGTACACCTAAATAACTTATTGATCGTTGACCTAGTGATTATGTAAATAGTGTTAATAGTGTCCCTGTTAATCCTAATATCATAATTAATAATTTTTTATCTTTTTTTTGAAAAAGCGGTGCAATTTAGCTTTTCTGATTATATAATTTTTATGATATACATATATGCACTCATTAAGTACCCATTTATTTTAAATATATTTAAAAATTCGATTTTATGAAACAAATGATAAACAGAATTTCGATAATTTAAACCCAAAATTATTCTCACAATAATGTCCCAAAGAAAAATCAGCATATATCAAATGTGTAAAAATAAAGCTGTGAGATAAAGTTATCAAACATTTCTTATTAGCTAATTTTTTATTCATTTATTTATTACACCTATGTATATCTAGACACAATTTTTAATATGTACAGTAAGCTCATCCCAGTTTAATCTATTATCAATTCTTATACACAAAATGTTTCTGTTGATCGTCTCTCATGTCTTCCTTCATTCATGTTTATATTTCCTTCATTATATATATATATATATATATATACATATACATATATATTGTTATTATGAAACAGTGGTTAGGGCAGTCGACTCGCAATCTGCGGGTCGCGGGTTCGAACTCCCCGTCCCACCAAATATGCTCCGCCCTTTCAGCCGGTGGGGCGTCAATAAAATGTGACGGTCAATCTCACTATTCGTTAGGTAAAAGAGTA